GGACATGTTGCAAGGCGGGACCAGTCCTTAGAGAGGGACGTCATGCTTGGGAGGATGGAAGGACAGCACAGGAAAGACCCTCGATGAGATGGCCTGATTCCTTCACTGGGGTAATTGGGATAAGCATATCAGAGACAATAAGATTGGCACAGGATAGAGCAGGGTTTGGGGCTATAGTCCATAGGGTCGCCATGAGTCACAAGTGACTCGGCAGCACATAACAACAACATTCTGTAACCTGATTTAATATCTTCAAAGTCTGTCACGTCAACTCTGGTCAAATAATGCAGAGCCACTTCATCCTCCTTCCCCAGCAATGCAGACACTTGTGGGTGGTTGACAAATGCTGTTACCCAAAAATTTGGAATTTAGGCCATCGACTCTGACCTCTTCTGAAAGAACGGTTGGCAGAATTTGTTATATTTCTGTTCTGCTTTCCAAATCTCCTCGCTGGCTCGTTCCTTAAGTCTGTCTAGTTCATGTTGTATTCCATCTATATGTTCAATTGCTTCCCACAATTTTTTCTTTTTCCCCCCTTCGGCAAATTCACAGAGGCTGTCTCGTGTAGGCAATGTTATTTCATTTGTGACTGGAGGGTAGACTGGCATTTTGGGGACATGTTGCAAGCTAAGTCCAAGAACTAGAGGAATGAGATACTGGCCTGAAAAATGTTTGAGGAGTTGTAAACATTTTTCTACCTTTTCTATAAGTGACTATGAATGGAATCATATGGTACATCATTTCCTGTGAAAGCTGTTTTTCACAACCTATTTCTAAAATTCATATTTGTAAATGTATAAATAGTCCTTTCTTTTCTGTTGCCAAATAATATCACGCTATGATAAGATAGTTCACAGGTTATTAGTGGCTATTTCCAGTGGTGGCCTTCTATGAATAGCTGCTATACACATTTTTGTACACATATTTCTATGGATATGAGTTTTCAGTTCACTTGCTTTGTAGTAAAAGTGTTGAGTCAAACTGCAGGCATCAACTTTTGCAGGTGTCCTTTTGACATCAAAATCTAAAAGTATATGAGTACTACAGTATACACTGTATGCTTAATTTTAGATTCTTTATATTGAAAAAGATGTGTTTCAGTATCTGACAGTGAAATCATGCATTACAATTAGCCAATTTATTAAACATTCACATTTGGAGTTCTAAGTTTAGCACTAGTAAGAGAGATCTGAGAAGAAATGTGTAACAGTATTTTTCTCTTTTTTTATTTAGCTTTATTCTAGTTAAGTAAGCATAGTTTGAAGTAGCTTATTATTAATAACTTCCTAATTTTAAAATTCGCTGCAGAAGGTCAAGGACTGCAGCCTTCAATATAGACTGAATCTCAACATCTATGAAACAAAGATTCTTAGCTCTGGGTCCATTGATAGCATCATGATAGACAGTGAAGAGATTGAGATTGTTAACAGCTTCGGTTTGCTTGGCTCCACAATCATGATACTGTTGGTACCAATAGCCAGGAAATCAAAAGACAAATTGCACTGGGAAAATCTGCTGCCAGAGACCTCTCCAGAGTGGTGAAGAGCAATGATGTCAGTCTGGAGACTAAAACACACCTGAACCAGGCCATGGTCTTCACAGTTACTTGCTATATTATAAAGCTGGGCAATGACTAAGGATAATGGAAGGACAGTTGATGTCTTTGAGCTGTGGTGCTGGAGAAGAGTACTGAATATACCATGGATTGCTAGGAGAACAAACAGGTTCGTCCTGGAGAAGATGCAACCTGGCTGTTTCCTTCCCATCCTTGGAAAGAGACATCATGCTTAGAAGGGTGAAAAGACACGGAAAAGAGGAAGAACCTGGGGGAGATGGATTGACCTAGTGACTGGGATAAAGGGGGTAGTTGTGTCAGAGACAATGAGGTTGTCTCAAGATAGAGCAAGCTTCAGAGCTGTTGTACATAGTCTCACTATTAGTCATAAGTGACTTGACGGCACATAACACCAATGATAATTCTAAAATTACAAATAGTAGTAACACAACATGCACAAATAATGCTCTCAATACCACAGCTTTTTAAGAAAGATTGTGAATTAGCTTTCTGTTGGTTAATGATTCATAACCACTCCCTAGCTAATGATTCCCTCTCATTGCCATTGAGTCAGAACCGACTCATAGCTAACCTTCCACTAGACTCCCAAGGCTCTAAATTGCATAGAAGGAGATTGCCCATCTTTCTCCTAAATAGTTGGTGGATTTGCACCATCCGAGACGCAGCCTTTGGATCTGCAGCTCAACTCTCTATGGACTAAGCCACCAGACCTCCATACATAAATTAAGAAGCTTATCACATTTTTAAAGCAACTAATAAGATTCACAGCGAACATCCCTGGTACCAGTAGTTGGTAGATTAGGAGATGTATTGTCTTGGGCAAGTCTGCTGTAAGGGACCTTACCATATTAGTGAGGAGAAATGATGCCAATTAGAAGACTCAGATGTACCCAATTCAGGCTATCATTTTTTTCAATCACTTGCTATGCATCTGAGCTGCATAAATAAGGATGACAAGAATAATTTATGGCTTTGAGCTGTCATGTTGAAAAAAGAGTGCTAATTATCCCATAGAATACCAAAAGAACAAAGAGAATGCTCCTTGAAGGCAAGGATGACAAAGCTTATATACTTTAGATATTTACAAAATATCTCACACACTTTGGGCATTTTGCTAGGAGAAGCTAATCCTTAGAAAGGAACCTCATGCTTGGAAAGGTGAAGGGTTGGCAAAACAGAAGAAAACCTTCAACCAGATGGACTGATACAGTGACTGGAACAATGGGCTTAAGTATGTCAGAAATGATGAGGATGGCACAGCATAGGACAGGCTTTAACTGTTTTTCATAGGGTGGCGATGAGTCAGACTAACAACATATTTTTATGAATTATCCATTTTGGTATGCCACAGGAAAGATTCAAGTTTATACATGTTGAAAATTCCTTTCTTGGAGCTGGTGAAATTTTAACCAATGAACAGAAACTTATAACTGCCTGTTAATTAGGTCCTCCACGAAGAAAAACTGATGCTTTTGAACTGTGGTGAATAGCCCATGGACTGTACAAAGTACAAACATGTTATGTTTTGGAGAAGGTACATCAGAGTGCTCCTTGGAGGCAAGCATAGCGAAGCTTTGTCTCACATTGCTGGGCATGTTTCTAGGCAAGACTATTCCTTGGAGAATGACATTGAGCTTGGAAAGGTGGGGGAACAGCAAAAGAGAGGAAGATCCTCAAAAAGGCAGACTGACTCAGTGATCCTCAATCAGGTGAAGGACACAGCAGTGGGCTTGAAGGTGTCAGGAACAAGATAGGACAGGGTTCAAGTCTGTTGTTCATAGGGTCCTTGTGAGTCATACTTAGTAAAACTTGAAATGCCATTTTTAGAGCCCAGAACTCCTACTTCCAACATCCCGTATGTCTAGTGATTGAAATAAAATTTTGGAAATAATTTCTTTACAAAGTAAATAAAAGTGGAAAAGGAGCACAATAAAAGTCCTTATAGGGGTCTTGGCCTTGACTGCCACTGTCTACCTCCCACTGAGTCACCACCTTCACAGTTGCACTCAAATCTTTCCCACTCTACAACTTATTTCATGGTCATCAAACATCATAGTACTTACCATACTAAAATCTGTTTGCTAATTTTGTCTAACCCTAAATCAGCAGCTGAAAGTAGACTGTCTTTGCTCATTTCTATCTTCTCTGAGCACAGGGTCTCTTAGGTATCAAAAGCTCAAAAACTGGCTATTGAATGAATAAATGAATGAACTAAACAAAATTGACTCAGATTTCCAATCAAACAATGTAGCAAGCATTTTACTATCTAAAACTGCTTTTTTAATAACATCATCTTCTAAAGTAAGAGAAGGAACACTAGTAATTACAGCTTACTTCCTACCTTAATACATTGGTTTTTATGTTCATTTATATTCATGCCCACTGGAACAATGTACCTATACCTACTTTTCATTCATCTTCAATATGTTACTACTATTGGATAAACAGAGGTATAAAAATGGCTTATTACCAAAAGGCAATTTAAAAAATTATATATAAAGTATACTGATATTTTCGTTACTAAAAGACTTTTTTTTATCAGTACCTATCTCCATTTTTAGATGAAGTCTTTTCATGATTAAAGATCTATATACTTTGTATTCTAATTTGTTCTCATTTTTATTACAATGTATTCTAATTTCTTTTTGATACAAAAAAAGTAATGGTTTCTGCTTCTTTTAATATATCACTTTAACTATTTTATGTTTCTTTCTCATTTATATTTTTATTGATAAAATCCTTTTATAATGAATTCTATCAAATAACCAAATTAAAATTTTTGAAAATTCACTGTTAGAAATTATATCTCTAGCTTTCAGGACCAATACCAATACATGACCAAAAATGCTAAGCTTTAGGAAGTGAAAAGGAACATCTTAAACTTAAGTGGAAAATGATACATATACAATCATTTCCACCAACAAATTGTGATATATTGTGTGGTGTTCCATATTTTTAAAAATTACTTATAATCCATAAAGTTGTCTATAAGTGTTAATTTCTTTTTTATTCTTCATAGTAACAAATGTTCCAGTAAAGTACTTTGCATACCAGTTTATTCTGTATAGTGGATAAATATAAATAAATTGTTTTTATAAGACGACTACCTACTGAGAAATGAAAATATTTTCATTTTTAATACAGAGCCCTTCTTGATCAACAAAATTTTCTTTAGTGGTATTTTACCTATAATATCTTATACCTTAAATAAGTAAGGGTTAGAAACAAAAGGCCAGTGGCAAAGCATTCATGTGAATTATTTCACCAATCTCAGGAAACAGAACAGACATTCAGAAGGATTTAAGGTTACTCAATACACCCCCTCTCACAAAATAAACCTGCACATTGTAATTAGACCACAGAAGGATCAAAATATTCATTTATGTTGAGCCATGGTGAGGAAAATCTTCCATTTTTGACATTCTCATGTTCTTAGTTTTTCAATCAAATAATCAGCCTGTAATTTAAAAGAGAAAAAAAAATTAATACTCCATATGACAAGATCTTGGGAGAAGGATGGGAAATCTCCTCCTGTGTAATGTATGTCTCCTGAAAACCTACCAGAGGGTCAGCTATGAGTCAGTTCCAACTTGAAACCAATGAGTTCAGAACACTATGATATATCAAATAATTCTATCAGCATCTCATCTCATACCACAGAATAAAAGCTGGATACTACAGTTGGTTAAAATGTGGTATTTTATTTAAAATTATACATATCTCATGCAAAAAAAAATTCTAAACATAATAGTTTTATAAACTATCTCACAACTGTTGATTCTAATTCAGGGACTCTCCATTGGATTTCTGAGACTGCAAATCTTCGTGGAAGGAAACTATCCATCTTTCTGCCTCAGAGTGGCTGCTCAGACTTCACAGCAGCCTGAAGCACCATGCACTACACCACCAGGGGTTGTTGATGATGCATTTTAAAATATTATTTTAAATCATAAATTTACAAACTATAGGAAAGTTAGTCTATATTGTATATAAACAAATTTTTTTCCTATTCACTTTGAATATTCATTTATAAATTTCAATAAGAGATGGTAAATTAAAAAAACTAATGTTTTTAAAAGTAAATAAAGTCTTCTCATTATATCAGTTCAGAACCCTTTTCTTAGTCACCTTATATAACTTAGAACCTTACATTTTGGAATAGTATCAACATATTCAAGATCTCATATTTAAATCTAACTAAAGTCCCAGATTTAAGAAGAGTTCATTTCCAGGATGAACAATTGAAAAATCTTGCTTTAGTTCATATTTTTCCCCAGTTAAAGAAAATCTAGTCTTTTACATAAGAAAATACAGTAAAAACATTATAAAAAAATGTCTTTTAGCTATTCTTTTATTACAAAGCATGAATCTTACAGAAAATATCATACTGACTTTTTAAAGAGAACATCAGCTGCTCTGCAGTATGTCTCACTGTTTCATTCAAATACAAGTATTCACAATTACCTATAGATAAATAAAAGATTAAAAACTAGAGACTTAAAAAGGTGATCTAACTTGGACCTGGCTGTTTGAATAGTGAAATCAGAATTTAAATCTAGATCTGACTCCAGAGTCTGACGCTTCTTTTATATTCCCTGCTTGCAACAGGAGACTCAACCACAGCTCCGCTTCCCACTGATTTGACAACCTGACAAGTTCTCTAAAAGAAAAACATTTTTTGGTATATATGAGCAATATGCTAAAAGAGTTGATCAAATCTATGAAAGTTCAAAGTGTCTCCTGTTGCCAAACAAGAAAAACCAAACCAGAAAGAACAATGTTTTCAGTATGTATGTGTGCTGTTGATACAGCAATAATACTTACTGTTATAAACCAGTAGGAATTGACTCTATATATCAGTTTTGATACAAAGCCAAGCTGATTCACTGGTGCTAGAACATGAAGGTGTAAGTGGGAAATGGAACAGAACGGCGGCATATGGAAACCCATCCTGAAACAGAAAAGTTAACAATCAATACATTTGTTCTAAAGTAGTTTAAACTTATTTTTCAAGATGAAACACAAATATTAAAGGCATTCAAAGTTGTTGTTTAGTATCTTTGAGTCTGAATTTATCCAGAGCTAACCCACCAACTGGTTTTCAGAGGCAGTAAAACACACATAAGATTGTCCATCCTTCTCCCACAGAGCAGCTGGTGGATTTGAACAGTGTGCTTCACGCTGCAGTGCAACTTACCATTAGGCTACCAGAGCTCCATTCCAAAGTAGTACTAGGTTTTTCTAAATGGTACAGCTCTGTTCTGTCAATATGCGGTACTGAAGTACCTAGGGTTGCTGTGATTCTGAACCTTGTATCACTGGGGTGTCAAATGTCATAACGGTTACCCATGGTGGACAGCGTTTGATGGAACTCCCAGTTTAAGACAGTTTTGGAAGCAGAAGTAGCATCCACTTCATAAACAACATGCCTCTGGAAACTAGGAACTTTGAGAAATGACGATAGGTATAGAAAGGCTTTAGGTCTTTTGTTCATAGGGTCATTATGAGTCATGTTCATCTCGATGGCAAACAACAACAACTATGTTTTTCAGTACATCAAAGTATTCACAATTCTTCTTTTATGTGAAGTTCACAGTAACATAAAACTTCAAGTATCAAGGAAGGTCTTAATAGCATATGATGCCTCAATATAACATTTTTTAAGAGTTTGCTGCCTCACTGTCTTATCAATTCAATTCTTAGCACATAAATCTTTACTTCTTTTGAGATTTGGTCCTACAATGAAACTTGTGAAAAAAAAATTACTAGACTCTGATGTAGGAATAGGAAACTCTGGTGGTCTACTGGATAAGGAGTTTCGCTGCCAACCAAATGGCTCTGTGGGATAAAGACAGACAATCTCTTATGTGATTTACAGCCTCTGAAAACCTGCTTGAGGGTCAGCTAGGAGTGGTCAAGTCAACAGCAGGGAGTGGGTGCAAGTGTTTACGTAACTCTAAGATACTACCAGTAGATGGTGCTATTTCTCCCTATCGCTAATAAAGTTCCCTGTGACACTTAGCAATATTTGAATAAACATGATGAATTTACACGTCCATTAAAAAAAAAAGTTAATATTATATTGCAATTCTTATTTAATAATGAAAATTGTTTATGCTTTAATTCTTTTCATTACAAAGACAATTAAGAGATCAGGAAAGCATTTGAGGGTCACAGGTATATTTTAATAAAGAAAGAAGAGTGGACATAGTAAATTAATTACATTTTGGCATATGGAGAAAACTTACCATGGTATACTTTTCCTTCTCTAGATTTCTTCTGGCTATATGATTAATTCCCACCGTGCACAGATAAAGGTAGGACCGTGCACCTCTGAACAATGAAAAACTTAAAATATGCTATTTAAATGTTTCAAAGTCCTTAAAAATGGAGCAGAACAAGAACACTCATGCTGCTTCTGACCAGTGTCCCTGTTCCTTGTCTTCCTCACACTTGGATTGTTCCCAGTAGTCTTCAGAGGATGTTCACACACATCATCTCATTTGAGCCTTCAGGTAGGTAACATAGGTATTACTTTGGAGAGTTTAAAATAACTTGAAAAGTCACACAGCCAGTACAACAAACAGCACGGATAGTGTAGGAGCAGCATCCACTTCCTAAATAACGTGCCTCCGGAAACTCTATGAACTTTGATAAATGTCAATAGTTTGAGAGGTGCTTCAGGCCTTTTGTTCACAGGGTCACTATGAGTCATGCTCGACTCAAAGGCAATCAACAACAACATGCATGTTGCAAGGAGAGGCTAGTTTTATCCTGGACAGGGTACTTGGGAAGGTGGAGGGATGGCGAAAGAGGAAGATCCTCAACCAAGTAGAATGACACAGTGACTGCAGCAACAGGTTTGAGGGTGGCAGAGATCGTGAGGAGGCACAGGATAGGACAGGGTTCAGATCAGTTGTTCATAGGGCCACTCTGAGTCATACTCAACTCGACAGCACCTAATAACAACATGTGTGCTGCGGGAGCTCTGGTGGCGTAGTCTGTAGGGAGATGCATGACTTACTCAAAGATGGTATCACTCTGGTGGTTCAAATCCACCAGCAGTTTCTGGGGAGAAAGATGGACAACTTCCTCCCGTGTGATTGGCATCCTCTGAAAAACAGCTGAAGGATCAATTATGTATTCAATTCTGACTCACAAGCTCAACCACAGTCAGCATAAACATCAACTCAACCTAGAAGTAATTACCACCATACTGTACTAAACTGCTTAGATTTATTAAAGCAGCTGCCAAATGGAACATAATGTACTTTTGCACAAACTTGGGAAATGAGTTCAGAAAACAATAATTGCAAGTTAGAAATATAATAAGGTAACTTTTAAATTGCATAAAGGCTTGTCTAAGAAAATTCAATTTCTAAAGTTTTATAGAAAAACTATGACTAGGGATGGTAGAAGGAGAACTGATGCCTTTGAGTTGTGGTGCTAAAGAAAAGTAATGAATATACTATGGACTGCCAGGAAAACAAACAAGATCATCCTGGACACAGTGAGACCAGGCTGTTTCTTGGAGGCAAGGATTCTGAAGCTTCATCTGACCTACTCTGGGCATGTCCCAAGGAGAGATCGATGAAATCCTTGAAGAGGGACATCATACCTGAGAAGGTGGAAGGACAGTGCAAGAGAGAAAGACCTTTGATGAGATGGACTAACTCAGTGACTGGGGAAATGAGGGTAGGTGTGTCAGAGACAATAAGATTGGCACAGGATAGAGCAGGGTTCAGAGCTGTTGTACACAGGGTCGCTATGAGTTGCAAGTGATTTGATGGCACAGAACAACAACAAACAAACAACATAGAAATACACATATTAAATACGCTACAGTGGACTTGTAACTATTTTAACGTATTAACCATTGTATAACGGAGCTCTGTGGCCTAATGGTAAGAAAGTGTACTGCAATCCCAAATGTATTTCATTTGAATCTACCAGGTGCTCCACAGGAGAAGGACAGGCAATTTCCTCCCATGAGACTTAGAAAATCTGCTGGAGGGTCAGCTATTGGTCAGTTCCAGCTCAACAGCAAACAACAATAATTGTATAAGGAGCTCTGGTGTTAGGGAGGTAAGTGCTCGGCCGCTAATTGAAAGGCTAGTAGCTCCAAACTACATGCTGTCTGCCCTGCAGGAGAAAGATATAGCAATCTGCTCCTGTAAAGCTTGTGTTGTTGTTGTTGACTGCCTTCAAGCTGAGCACAACTCATAGTGACCCTATGAACAAAAGGCATGAAGCCCCTCTACAACTATCGACATTTATCAAAGTTCATACGGTTTCCAGAGGCATGTTATTTAGGAAGTGGATGCCATTCCTGCTTCCAAACCTGTCATAGTATATTATTGTTGTTACGTGCCACTGAGTTGCCTGTGATGTATAGCGACTCTATATACAGCAGCTCTGAACCCTTCCCTGTCCTGAGCCAGTCTCACTAACTCTGACACACAAACCTCCACAGCCCCAGAAACTGTATCAATCCATCTCATCCAGGGTCTCCCTCTCCTGTGCTGTCCGTCCACCCTCCCAAGCATAATGTCCTCCAAGGACCAATCTCTCCTGGTCACGTGCTCAGAGTTAGTGAAGTGGAGCTTCAAAATTCTAGCCTCCAAGGAAACACTTGGTTTCACTCTCTCTAAGATAGACCTATTTGTTTTCTTGCTATGTTCAAGACTCTTCTCTAGCACCACAACTCGAAGGCATCTATTCTTCTGTCATCCTTAGTCATTATCCAACTCTCTGAAGCATAACACATAACTGAGAAGACCATGGCCTGGATTAGGCGAAACTTTGTATCTCAACTGACATGGTTGCTCTTCAGCCCTCCGGAGAAGTCCATGACAGCAGATTTTCACAATATAATTTGTCTTTTGGTTTCCCGACTGCTGATGTTAAAAGAGTGTTGATTGTGGAGCCGAGCAAGCTGTAATTGTTAACAATCTCAATCTTTTCTCCATCTAATATGGCGCTGCCAATTGGCCCAGTGGTGAAGGGGGGCCAATCTTATGGAACAGTTCATGTTACTCTATCCAGTAGAATTGCTGTAAGCCAATCTACCCAGTGGCACACACAACCTATTATGGATACCAATCTGTCCCAAAAATCAGTGGAGACTCGTGGACAATGTTAAGACATAAGAAGATTGATTTATTAGAGAGCTCTGGTGTCCTAGTGGCAGGAAGGTGCACTGAAATCCCAGAGGTACACAGCTCAAATCCATCAGATGCTCTGCTGGAGAAGGAGGGATAATCTTCTCCCGTACCAGTCAGATCCGATTTGATGGTACACAAACAAAAATAAAATTTTTAAAAAAGACGTTTCGTTTGTTAAATTTACACTACAAATTATATTTTCACTTTTTAGAAAAGTATCATTTAAATCATGAACTCTACCACCTTTGCCTCCACCCTGTATTAAGAAATAAAATGTCATACAACCCAACAATACACAATGCAGATTTCTATGTGGAAGTATGCATACCTCACATTCTTTAAGTCAGTGAAATGATTTCTTTCAAGGATGACTTTTCCAGCAGCTACCATGTTCTCAACTACAAACAAGAAAGAAATTATAACCATCATTACACTGTCATTAGACTGGTAAGTTCATTAGAAGGTTATTCATTTTTATGTTCAGTGATCTACTAGAATATTACATAGTTAAACATTTAGACATATTCAGTAGACTCATCAACAACAAAAGCAAAGATTCAAACTGAGCCACAGTTGCAACCTCACTTACCTCACATAATGACCGTGGATACTTGTTAAGTAATTTTTAAGACATTTGATTTTACTGGAGCTAATTCTAGTCACAGGATAGAACAAGCTTCAGATATTTTGTTCATAGGGTCGCTATGAGTCATACTTGACTCAATGACACTTAACAACAACAAGTCTAGTCACAAAGAGGCCAAGAAATTAAACAAATAGTGTGAGTTAAGAATGAAGGCAAGAAGCTTTGAGTTTGTCTTTGAGTTCAAAGAAGATATGTGTTATTCCTTACGTAAGCTCAAACTTGAGCAGCTAAATTTCTAAGATGGCTACAACTTCCAAAGTAGATGGTTCTACTTTAGTATCTTGTCTCAGCACTTTATAGCCTTTGCATGGAATAAGTCTTCTCATCAGAAAAATTTTGGTAGCCTGCAATCTTCAAAGCACAATGACAAATCTTGTTTTGATTCTTGTTTTGGAATGGTTTAATCACATGTTTGAAAGAGACAGAAGTCAAAGAGCCCACAGAGGATCATTGTTCCACTGGGCAAACGAAATCATTGCTCATGTTTTCTTCTCCAAGTCAGGCTTGAGTTAGGAAACTGATGACTAGACCAAGATAAGATCAATGAAATGCTCTCAGGTTACTGTGAAATTGTAGCTTGCTTCCTTTCTTTGAAAACACTCCTAAGATCTCAAACATGTGGGTAACTATTCAGCACTAAATATTTTCCTTCTAACTTCTATAAAAGACATGACTTTTAAAAAGAAGGAAAACATTACTATTTGATTATTTAAAACAAAATTATAATGCTCTTATAACAATATCATTATTATAACTAAGTTTATATAAAAATTTTTCTATTTCACATGAATTAGTATATTAAGTAGACCATAAGGTCAAAAGATGCTCATTATAATCTGTCTAGAGCAACTACCAAAATAATGCAAAGAAAAATAGAAAAAGATGCAAATATTACTAAAATAGAATATCAATAAATATATATGATCAACCACAAAAAGGCAAGAAACAGCAAAAATCATAAAACATATAGAAAGCAACTAACAAAATTATATCAAATTATACCAATTATTGAGAGAAAAAAAGATCTAGCAATGCACTGCCTTGAGTCTTTAATTATATTCATTTGATTGAAAGTAAAAGCAGAAAAAAGAGATTCACAAAGCATCAATAAGCAATGAAAAAGCTATAACCACTAAACTGATACACAAAACAGACTAAGGGGTACTTGCAGCGATAAAAAAGGGGCATTTTCTAGTGATAAACAAAGTGGACTCACATGATAAACCTAATAATTTGTTCATTTAATAGGAGTTATGTTGCCTAGTGGATAGAGTTGGGCTGCCAACCCCAAAGGTTGGCAGTTCAAATCCACCAGCAGCTCTGTAGAAGAAGGATGAGCAATTTATTCTCATTCAGTTTACAGCCTCTGAAAAACACACTAGAGGGTCAGTTGTGAGTCAGTTCCAGTGCAATGGCAAACAGTAGTAGTAGTAGCAGCAGTAGTAGTAGTAGTAGTAGTTGTAGTGACTGGAAACATAGTGTAAAAACAACTGTTGCTCTAGATTTCATAAATACTTTTTCTATATTATTTCCTTTTTAAAATTTTTTATCTTCTTAAGAGAAAAAATAATCCCAAATGCATACCATGCTTGCTTCAAAATTAGTATTTCATTTGTAACAGCATGAAAAAAACAAAATGAGCTCTATCAAGAGTTTCCATTTTCCTCAAACCAAGCTCTACCTTACAAATAAGCTTAAGAATACCTAAGAAGCCAAAGGACTGATCTCTAAAAACAACTACAGAAAAATAAAAATAGAAACATTTTTAAAGAAAGAAGAAATAGTAAAATTCACAATCAACAGAGCACAAAAACCAAACCCACTGCTGTTGCGTCCATTTCAGCTCACGGTGACCTTCCACCAGGCTTCCGAGGCTGTAAATCTTTATGGGAGGAGATTGCCTAACTTCCTTCTGAACTGCTGACATACGGGTTAGCAGCCCAGTAGATCCACAGTCTCTGACTTAATACCTCTGAAAACCCACTGGAAGGTTGAGCTATGAGTCAATTCAGACTTAATGGCAAAAAACAACAACAACCAGAGCACCTTCATTTCAGCCATGGGTCAATTTAAACTGGATCTAATTTTATAACTTCACAAGCTATCCTCATGTTATAAATCAACTATGTACTGATGGAACTTCAAGTAACTAAGGAGCTTTACAGTATCCAGAAACAAATATGTAAATACTAATTCAGTCCTTTGAACTCTAATTTCCATCGAAGTTTCTTATTTACCTTCAAAAATGAGCCTGTCCCTTTTATCTATTTTTATAGGCTGCCTAAGAATAAACTTTAGTTTCAGGCAGCCAAAAAAACAAATAGGGAGGTCTGATGGCCTAGTGGTAAGGAATTGCCCTGCCAACCCAAAGGTACACAGTTCAAACCCACCAAATGCTCCATAGGGGAAAGATGAGTAATTTCCTGTGTGATTTACTGCCTTTCAAAACACACTGGAGAGTCAGCTATAAATTGTTTCTGACTCTATGTACATAACAACAAGAGTAAATTAATCCCAAATACTAGTGAAGGGCTGGCACAGTAGATCTGAAGAAAATTTAGAAATGTCTTAGGAAATGATGGCTATCAAGCCACAGAAGGCAACAAAAGGGAAATGTAAGGCAATCTGGGAGAGACAGGATTCAGACGTTCCTTCTCAGAGGATAAAACTTTATCACAAGAATCCCAAGTTGATATCTGGGTCCTTATTAACTTTACTGACACAGTAAAGAACCTATGACACAGCCTTACCACCAGGTCATATGAGTTCCTATTTCATATCCCAACTTGTCGTTGTTATTGTCAGAACAAACCCATGGCTGACTCTCTGGCAGGTTTTCAGAGGCAGTTAATTGCACAGGAGAAGACTGCCTATCCTTCTTATTTTTAATTATTCATAAAGCCTTTCCTTTTCAAAGTCAGAAAAGGCCATCATTTTAAAAGTAATAAGCACTATCTTTTACAGACACCTATTAAAATATTTAAATATGTGATGTCCTGATTGCTTCAAAGTAATCCAGAATAGTGGATGGTTGATATATAAGTAAGATTCAATGGCCATGTGCTAATAAATGATAAAGCTGGGTGATTTTATTATTTTCTTTATTTGTAACAATATTTTAAATTCTTCGTTAAAGAAGCTTTAAAAAGTGCTAACATTCTTTTTTCATTATTAAAAATCTTGCTGAACTTTTTTTTATCTTCACTGCGATTGCTGCTATCAATTCAAGATGATATTCCCATGAAGAATACTGGTATCATATTACCCAGTGCTACTTGATCTTTCTTTAGATCTCTGCAGTTTCCAATGTGTGTTTTTGGCACCACAAGATAGTGATGAGGGGCTGCTGGCTTGATATCTCGGAAGCAAACTAGGTCTTCATTCTAAAGGGAAGAAAAAAAATATAACCTTATTCAATGTATTTTAGAGAAGAATTTCCCAATGTTCTTTTGACATAACTGAAACTTTAAGTTATAACAGTGTAATAAAGTAATTTTTCAGTTACAAGGAACACTGGTTGGTACAATGTTTAAGGTGCTTGGTTGATAACTGAAAGGCCAGAGGTTTGAACCACAAAAAATAAATCAAATTGATGTGGGTCAAGTCGAAGTCATGGTGAGCACCATCAGGTTTCTGAGACAATAAATCTTTACAGGAGGAGACTGTCCTTTCTCCCACAGACCACCAGGTGGATCTGAACCACAGATCCGTTAGTTAGCAGCCCAACACGTAATACACTACACCACCAGGACTCCCTTCCCATAACAATTACAGCTGAGGAAACCCTATGGGGTGATTCTCCACCGTCTTGCAGGGTTGCTATGAGTTAGAATTAAATCAATGGTGTATAACAATTATAACTTAGGTTACAACTAAGCACCAAGGGGAAGTTCGGATATTTAGTGATTAAATCTATAAAGACAAGTTTTTGCTTCTTTCATGAGAGTCTCATTTACTCCCTAAAACACATTTTTAAAAATCCATTTAGTAAGAAACAGCAACGTTTATTAAAACTTCATTAACAACAATTCCAGGTTTTCATTTCATAATGTATTTCTTCATCCCTACACGACAAGTTTTTCCCACTCTTAACATGCGGTTTTAAAGGTGTGACCACAAAATCATAATAAAATAATTAATTGATAATTATTTTACATTCCATTTTTTTCCAAAATGGCCTTTCTCTCAATGATAAGAAGAACATCAACCAGCATTTACCAGTCCAGAAATGTTCTCCAGGGCTCAGGATAGGCTTCCTCCACCTTTTACTTTATAGCATGTTCTACATGATCACCTCAATTCTCTCCATTTCCATTTATAAACTGATGGCCCAAAATCTGGGCTAGAGATACAGCTCTCTCTCCAGAGCTCCAGAGTATCCCAACATGTAGTGGGCATCTCTACAATGCTTATTACACTTCTTACATCCCACAACTCTGAAACAGAACTCCTAACTTTCTCACTTCCCACCACTCCAGTGCACACCCTTTATTCTCCTAGAGTTCCAGCATTACTGAAATGGTACCATTACTGTCAGGTTCCAGAGCTCTGGGAGCTGAGCTCTCAACCCAAAGGCACCTGGTTCAGATCCACCAGCTTCTCTGTAGGAGAAAGACGTGCAATCTCCTCCCCTGTGATTTACTGTCCCTACTGTCCCTGAAAATCCACTGTAGGGTCAGCTATGAGTTGGTTCCAATTTGATGGTAAAACAACTTCTTTCCCAACTTTGAAACCACATGCTTGCTGAAAACTGAGGCCTTGAAGCATTTGCTACAGATGATAGAGGAGTGTAGCTTTCAATATGGATTGCATCTCAACATCAAGAAAACAAATCCAATAGGCAATGGGGTCAGGTGTGTCAGAAACAGTGAGGTTGGCTCAAGACAGGGCCTGATTCAGAGCCCTTGTTCATAAGTTTGTTAGGAATCATAGTTGACAAACATAACTGCCAGGTTCCTCTAACCAGAAATCCTCGAGTCATTACCGACTGCTTCTTCTTTCTATTCTTCCCTCTTACGGCTAAATCAGGGTCTCTTGTTCTGTGCACTGTTGGCATCTTGAACCTGATGATCCTTCGTTGTGAGGTATGTGCTGGTCACTGGGGAAAGTCAGACACAATCCTGACTTCTACTCATTAAGTGCCAACTCCACCACCCGCCCTCCCACTTCTGACAGCCCAGAATGTTTTAAGGTATTGTCAAATATATCCTGGGGCATAAAACTGGCCTTGCTTGAGAACATTTGATCTACCCCTGCTGTTGTTAATTGTCATAGTGTTAGCTCCAACGAATGGCCTTATGTACTACAGAGAAAGGCTATCTGGGCCTGTGTCATCGTCAAGGTTGCTGGTACTCATGGGTACATTATTACAGCCATTGTGTCTTCCAACCTTGTTTTACTTAGGTTTCATCAAGTCAGCTAGGACTGACAGCAACCCTTTGACTCAGAGATCTCAACCTTGCTCTGTCCCGCCCAGTCCTGGTCACAGCCACGTCCAAGCCCACTGTGACAGTCACTGTATCAATCCGCCTCCTTGAGGGTCTTCCTCCTTCCTCACCCTCTGCCTGTCCCAGCATGATGCCTCTCTTCAAGAACTGGTTCCTCTAGAAATATGCCCAAAGTAAGTGAGATGAAGTTTCACCATCTGTGGTGTTAAGGGTTTATTGTTCAAAATGGCTTCCCTAGCCTTTTTCTGACTTTGCCATGTGGATGCGTGGGGATACGTGAATTGGGCGTGTTAGCTTATCTAGGCTATTCTTGCCATTAAATTGAGTGCATCCAGCAGCAGAAAGAGGTAACATAGCCACCCACAAAGGAGAAAGCATGCAGAGAATGTCCTCTGGGGCCAGCAAGTCTTCTGCCAGCTAGTCCTACAGCAGTAGCAGACACCGATGAAGCAGAGGACCAGAGACCCTACATGAAACAGAACTGACCTTGGGACTGTTACCCCCCACGGACAACCTGGGGGTAGAGAAGAGCCGTAACTGGCATCACTGAGAGCTTTGTTACATTGGCCTAAAGCCTCAAAGCTCAAGCCTGTAAGCACAAGCACATGCCTGTAGCTGTCCTGGTTGAGTGTTCTGCTACTAAACCGAGTTACAGTCTTTTGATTTCCCTAACATGGTTCTGGTGGCTTAGTGGCAAGAAGCTGTGCTGCAATCCTGAAGGTATATGGTTCAAGGATACCAGCTGCTCCATGGGAGAAGGATAGGCAATCTCCTCCCATGTGATGAACTATCTCTGAAAACCTGCTGGGGGTCAGATATGGATCGGTACTGACTTGATGGTAAACAATAACAACAACAACATGAGACAGAGCTGACTTGGGTTCACAGCTCCAGAGTCAGAATCAGAGATCTTCACCAAGGAGGAGTGAGGGAAGGTGCCATAAATGGCATGTTGCAAGGAGGGATCAGTCCTTAGAAAGGGACATCGTGCTTGGGAGGGTGGAGGGACAGAGAAAGAAAGGAAGACCCTGGATGAGATGAATTGACTCAGTGACTTGGGTAATAAGGGTAGGTGTGTCAGAGACAGTAAAGTTGGCACAGGACAGAGCAGGTTTCAGGGCTGTTGTTCACAGGGTCGCTATGAGTCGCAAGTGACTCGACGGCACATCACAACAGCAACAAGGGAATGTCATAACACTGACCTAAACCATGATGCTGAAGAACAAAGCTTGTAAGCATGCTTGAGAAGCTGTCCGGTCCGAGGAATTTTATCCTGCTGCAAAACTGAGTGGTAACCTGTCAACTTCCCATCTAAATCCCATAACCGTGTGTATGGTTGTATGAGATCTGCATGGACAATGCAATGGATTCAGACCCTTACTGGAGCAGGACTACTGGCGTTAAAACTAGTATAAGGAGGTGTGAGAGTGTAGATGCCATGTTTGACCTAGTGGAAACACATTTTGTACTATGGATGGTGCTGATGGTGATTATTCCCATTTGTGAAGTTAACAGAGATCAGGTTTGGCCATCTCCACGCCACCTAAACTATTTGCAAACCAAATTTGTAACTTCAAAGCAACACACCAGCTACTACAGTATCACAAATCAACAGACATGTGGTCTCATTTAGGATTTTACACGGAGGGACAGCACAGGAGAGGAAGACATTCGATAAGATGGACTGATTCAGTGACTGGGGTAATGGGGATAGGCATGTTGGAGACAGTGACTGACAGGATAAAGCAGGGTTTAGGGCTGTTGTACGTAGGGTCGCAATGAGTTGCAGGCAACTTGACAGCATAAAACAACAACAAATATCTCTTTACATTGATAGTTGGGTTTGTTTGGGTTGTTTTTTTTTTCCATCTCCATGCCATACTTTTATTTCTCTTCTGTACTAGGGGACAGATTACCCCCAATATCTTAAAAGGCCTCTTGACTCACCCCCTCCAAATCATTCTCTATAATGGTGTAAGAAAGACTGTTCAAAGGGAAAAAAAATCTGTTATTCCTCAAATCTTTTCTATATCCACATAGTCCATGTTCCAATCAGACTAAATTATTTTAGCACAAAGTTCTCTTGCTTTGAACCTCTAAGGGCCCTCTCTGCTTAGTATATCCTTCTCCCTGGGCTAACGCCTACTTACTTATGTAAGTCTCAAAAATCTAGAAAGCCTTCCCGAAGCCCTCAAGTCTGGATTAAGTGCCCCATCAATCAGCCTGTGAAAATATCTTACAAGGCAGTGAAAGTGGCTGACTCCTGCCTGAATTCACTTTTCCTTTGAATTATATAAACTAGACCAGAACTACACTTTCGTCATATTCATGAAATCTCTATCAAAAAGGGCTTAGAACAAAATATATTTTTAATGAGTAAATAAATAACTAACTACAACTGATGCAATCTTTAGAGATGAACCAAAAGATAAGGTTTCCTTAAAGACAAGTAGAACCAGTAGGGCAATGTGTATCTGTGAAAATAATTGGGGAAAGTCCAAGTTCCCTTCAAACTTCGACACCTCCTACAAGTGGAACTTCAAGCGTGACTGAGTGGAAATCAGAAGCTAATGTGGTGGGCTTTATGTCCTGTCACTTTGCATAGATCAACTTTTCCTCATCTTCATTGCCATATTCTTATTGGCAGATTCTACTGCCATATTCTTAGTCCCAAGACCCACTCCTCCCAGCCTATTTTCAGTCTTATGAATGTTTTCACAACTGACATTATTTACTTTCCATGAGTTTTCTCTAAGGAATTGATATCACAATGCTCAGGATTTAAAAGTGGTCTCTAAAACAAAAAGAAAGGGGGTAGGGAGAGGGACGGGGAGGGGAGGGGGGAGGGAGAAGAGAGAGAAAAGCAGAGGTTGCAAAATGCTATTTTCCTCCCAAGTACAAAAAACAATGAAGACACTTCCAGGGCCTGAAGAAGCAAGTCTGACCGTAACATCTTGATACCTGCACACATCCCCAGGTTCTCTTCGCTCAGCCACACTGGAAAACCTTCCTTCCAATAGCTCTGACTGGGATCCCAGACCTCGTCTACACCGAGCTCCGAGTAATGAATGGACTCCAGACCCAGTCCACACAGAGTTCTGAGTGCTGATCGGACCCAGACCCCGTCTACACCGAGCTCCGAGTGATGACCGGACCCCAGACCCCGTCTACACCCAGCTCCGGGTGATGATCGGACCCCAGGCCCCGTCTACACCTAGTTCCGGGTGATGATAGGTACCCAGGCCCTGTCTACACCTCTGAGTTCTCCCTCGCGTGCACTGGGGAGGGAGGGAGGGAGGAGAAGGAGGGGATGGCCTGTCCACACCAGAAAGGCTCTCCCTCCCCGAGCACTGAGGGGGCAGTGAACACACCCGCCCCGTCCATACTGCCGAGCTTCCCAGCAGCTCCCGCGGCGGCCGGAAGCTCAAGCCCTCCCAGCGGCGAATCGCAGCCCACCTCACAGTGCAGAAGTTCCGTGTTCGGTTCCTGCCCCCGCGCGATGCGGCAGAAGACACACTTGCTGTCATAGTCCCCGGCCTGCGGTGACTCTGCCGCGACCTCAGAGGGGTGCGCTGGGGACATGGGCGGTGCTGCAGCGGCGGCGGTGGGGCCTGGGTCGGAGCTGGGACCCCTCGGCTCCTCCGCCATCACACCGGCTCCAGGAGGCTGACCCTCGACCTCTTGAGTCCCGCGGGGCCCAGAGAAAGGTCCGCCTCTCGCACCTCCCCGGTTTCACCTCGAGGGGTCGCCCCTTGCCTTGAGCTGGGCTGGGCTAATAGTTACACGCGTGCGCAGATCCTAGGAGCCCGGAGAGGGAGTGTGACAGAGGCGAGGAGGGGGCGGGGCACGGGGCGGAGGAGTGGGAGCCGCATCGCCGCGGGCCACTAGAGGGCGCGCGAGGGCGCTGCAGGGGACAGCCAGCGGCAGAGGCTGGCGGACTCCCTCAAGCACGCTCTACGTCAGCCTGGACGCAGAACACGCGGCGCGTCTCGATGACGTCACCGCGACTGTGGCTCCTGGATTCGTCGATTCGTCTTGGGGAAGGTTTCTGCAGGCTGGCTTCTGCAGACAGCGAACCTTCGTCTCCTTAACGTTGAACCTGTTCTTAGGAGCAGCCAGTCCTTGGGGAAGGACATCATGCCGAGGGGAAGACCCTCGAGATGGAATGACACAGTGACTGACGTGGGCTCCAGAATGTCAGAGATGAGGATGGCGAGGGCAGGGCAAGGCTCTCAAGGTCCCCATGAGTCAAGGTCAAGGACACGGAGCCACAATGTGCCTAATTCTTGCTTGTTTAAAATACCTCAAAACTTGTAATGTACCCCACTTTATTGCACTTTTTTATTCAGTTTATTATACTTTAAAACTATATTATTAAAATTGAGAGAAAGGGCAAATTTATAAAGCGTTTTACTCGTGCCTTTTGATGCTTTGTATGTTTTCTGACACAAAGACGTTAAATGCTAAAGTATGTTTCGTGTTCACTTTTTTGTAATGATACCAGTCATATCCAAGATTTAGAATCTGAAATATACCCTAAATTCATTGTCACTGCCTCTTGTCGCACCTTTTTGTTATGTGCCGCCCAGTTGCTTGCCTCTCATAGCGACCCTATGAGCCCTAAACTCCGCTCTGTCCTGTGCCAACCGCACTGTCTCTGACACTCCCATCCCGATTACCCCAGTCACTGAATCAGTCCACCTCATAGAGGGCCTTCCCCTCCTGCACTCCCTCCACCCTCCCAAGCATGATGTCCCTCTCCAAGGACCTGTCCCTCCTTACTGCCATGTTGGAAGTATGTTAGATGGAGCCTCAGAATCCTTGCCTCCAAGGAGCCGCTCGGTTTAACCCTCTCCAGGATGAATCTGTTTGTTTTCCTAGCAGTCCATGATACTCTCAATACTCTTCTCCAGCACCACAGCTCAAAGGCATCAATTCTCCTTCTATCCTCCTTAGTCATTGTCCAACTCTCTGATGCATAACAAGTGATAGCAAAGATAATAGAGTCAGTTACATTTTAAATTTTGCTATTTATGTGTTTTGTAAACTACAGGTACACAAGGACACTGGGATGTTGTGTGCCGTTGAGTCACTTGCGACCCATAACAACCCTATGTATAACAGCCCTATACTCTGCTCTGTCCTGTGCCAATCGCACTATCTCTGACACACCCGTCCTGATTACCCCAGTCATTGAATCAATCCACCTCATAGAGGGCCTTCCCCTCCTGCGCTGTCCCTCCACCCTCCCAAACATGATGTCTCTCTCCAAGAACCAGTCCCTCCTTGCAACATGTCCAAAATATGTTAGATGGAGCCTCAGAATCCTTGCTTCCAAGGAACCACCCAGTTTAACCCTTTCCAGGATGAATCAGTTTGTTTTTCAAAGTTCGCTGGAGTCGAGGTGATTCTGACTTAAGATGCCTTTCTGTTGAGTTTATTTTGTTTTATGACATTCACATACCTGCATATCTGATCATCCCCTTACAGTATCCTGCCTTTCCCTTTAACCATTTTAATCGATGTTTATTATCAATTTCTTAATGTTTAATGCTTTCTTTTCATTCTTAGTAGTTAATCAAGAGTGATTCTACCTTTTTATAATAGTTCTGCTATACAATATTAAGTTCATGGAGTTAAAGCTTTGGAATTGGATCTGATTCTCAGAGGCTATAAATCACATGGGAGCAAATTGCCCATCTTTTCCCTGACAAGCAGCTAGTGGATTCGAGTTTCCTCCTTTTTATTGGTAGTGCAACTCTTACATACTAGGAAACCAGAACTCCCTGTCTCTATATTCATCCATATTATACAATGTTTCTTTTTTTTTTTTTGCAATGTTTGTTTCTTAATCATTTATTACTCTTTAGTGCTTCATAGTACTTTTAATATGTGAATGTACCACTTTTAACCTTTTGTCCTTTGATGGACATTTCAGGTTGTTTTCACTCGTTGCCATTTTAAGTAATGTTGTAGTAAATGTAAATGTACACATATCAATTTGTGTCACAGCACACTTTCTTTTTTAGGATGCATAGCTAGTGCAAGCAAGATTCTACTGAAGATTATCCATAAACGACTGGAACAGCACATCAGCAGAGAACTGCTAGAGGTCCAGGCTGGGATTAGAAGGGGTCGTGGAACTAGGGATATTGTAGCTGATATTAGATGGATCTTAGCTGAAAGCAGGAAATACCAGAGGAATGTCTGTCTGTGTTTCATTGACTATGCAAAGGCATTTGATTGTGTGGGTCATAAAAAACTGGCTGACTCTGAGAAGAATGGGAATCCCAGAACACTTGATCATTCTAATGTGAAGCCTATAGTTGGGCCAGGAGGCAGTCGTCAGAACAGAGCACAGGAACACTGCCTGGTTCAAAATTGGGAAGGGTGTACACCAGGGATGTGTTCTATCTCCATGCCTTTTCAACCTGTATGCAGAACAGATCATCTGGGAGTCTGGGCTCTATGAGGAGAAATGTGGGGTCAGGATTGGTGGACAATCTATCAACAATCTGTGTTATGCAGATGACACTACCCTGCTTGCTGAAACTGAGGAGGACCTGAAGCACCTGCTGCAGAGGGTCAAGAACTGTAGCCCCCAATATGGATTGAGGCTCAATGTCAAGAAGACAAAGATTCTCACCACTGGACAAATTGGCAGCGTCAGGATGGATGGCAAAGAGACTGAGATTGTTCACAGCTTTAGTTTGCTTGGCTCCACAGTCAACACTCTCGGCGCCAGTAGCCAGGAAATGAAAAGGTGCATTGCTATGGGAAAGTCTGCTGTTAGGGACCGCTCCAAAGTACTGGAGCAGTTGTGTCTCTCTGGAGACTAAGGTGTGTCGGATACAGGACATGGTCTATGCAATCACTTGAGTTGGACAATGACCAAGGAGGACAGAAGAAGAATTGATGCCTTTGAGTTGTGGTGCTGGGGAAGAGTATTGAGAGTACCATGGACTGCTAGGAAAACAAACAGATTCATTCTGAAAAGGGTTAAACCAGGTTGCTCTTTGGAGGTAAGGATTCTGAGGCTCCGTCTAACATACTTTGGACATGTTGTAAGAAGAGACTGGTCCTTGGAGAAGTTCATCATGCTTGGGAGGGTGGAGGGACAGCTCAGGAGGGGAAGGCCCTCTATGAGGGGGATTGATTCAGTGACTGGGGTAATCGGGAAGGGAGTGTCAGAGACAGTGCGATTGGCACAAGACAGAGCAGAGTTTAGGGCTGTTGTACATAGGGTCGCTATGTGTGGCAAGTGACTCCACGGCCCATAACAACAACAACATAGCTAGTAGTGAGACTGCTGGGTCAAATAGTATTTCCATTTTCAACTTTGTAAAGAAGTGTCAAACCGCACTTAGTGGTTGAAACATTTTACATTTTCACCACCCTAAAAGTATTCCAATCTCTCCACACCTGTCAGCATTTGTTGTTAACGGTCCTTTATTCCCCCACCAATTTATATGCTTTATTTTGGTTTTTTTTTTTTAATTTGGAAATGTTTTTATAAGTACAACAAAACTAAATTTGGAGACATTACATATGAGTTTGGATATCTTTAGTTTTATTACAAAAGAGAGACAGATTATTTACATGATTGAAGATTTCAGAATTTTAGTGGAATGGGCAGCTTCACTTGATGCCATGTCAATAGTGATTTCCATCTATATACTTCCCAAGAATTACCATCTCTAAATTAATAATCTTTGTCATCTATACTTTAGTGCCTCCATATTCTGGGAAAAGAACTTTGTCTCCAACTTTCACACTAACTGATTGAATCTCTTCACCTGTTCCTTTAGATCCAGATCTAATAGCTACTACTGTTGCTTGCAATATTTTCCTTGAGATTTTTTTGAAAGTATAATGGCTCTTTTGGTTATAGTTTCAGCTGCACATCTTTCCACCCAGACTCAATCAAAGAGGGAAGAAACTTTTGAAGGTCTGTCCTGCTATGACTCTGGTTATTGCAGCTTGGACCCTACTCCCGCTATGTCACTGCCAGGAGAGACACTGCTTACTGTCTTACTGAAGTTTGCTCTTGTTGATGGGGTGAAATGATAGTGCATTATTGTTTTAAATTGCAACTCTGTAATAGCTAATGGGGTGAGCCAGGCCAAGAGACCTGCAAGCAGCAGCACCCAGATGCACATCAAGGAGCCGGTCCAGAAGGCCGCAAATGGGAATCAGAGCACTTGATTGTGTTCACCCAAAACCTAGACCTAGACCAGGAACATTGTTGTCTGAACAGAGCAAGGGAACACTACATGGTTAAAAATCGAAGATTTTTTTTGTGCACCAGGAATGTATCCTTTCCCCATACCTAGAAAATCTATATGCTGAACAGATTCTGGAGGCTGGACTTCAGGAAGAAGAATGCAGCATCAGGTTTGAAGGAAGACTTATCAACAACCTGTGTTATGCGATGACAAAACCTTGCCCACCAAAACTGAAGGATTTGAAACATTTGCTGGAGAAGGTCAAGGACTGCAGCCTTCAGTATGGATTGCATATTAAAATTTAAAAAAAACCAACAAAGATCTTCACAACCAGGCCAATAAACAGCATCATGGTAGATGAGAAAAGATTGAGGTTATTACTTCATCTTGCTCTGATTCATAATCAACATCCTTGGCACCAGC